TGTGATTCTCGGACTTGTCCATTAATCTAGGTATTAGTGTACAGCTGTTCATGCTGTTGTAGACTTATATTTATTTCTGTAGAATCTGTGGAAATGTCCTCACGTTCACATCTGATTTCAGTGATTCGAGTCTTCTCTCTTTTAGCTAGTGAATCCAGCTAAAGGTTTGTCAATTTTGGTGATCTTTTTAGAGAACTTACTTTGGGTTTTAATGCTTTCTCTCTACTTTTCAAAATCCCTAGCCAGACTCGGTGACTCAACCTGTCATCCCGCGCCTATGGGAGGCTGAGGTGAGTGGATGGCCTGAGCCCGCGGGTTCGAGACCCGCCTGGGCAGGCAAGACCTCGTCTCTACAATAACTCAAAAAAAAAAAAAAAAAATCAGCCGGGCGTGGTAGCGCACGCCTGTAATTCCAGCTACGCGGAAGGATCGCCGGAGTCCGTAGGTTGAGGCTGCGGTGGCCGGGAGTGGCCACTGCGCTCCAGTCTGGGCCACAGAGTGAGACTCCAACTCAAAAAATAAAAAATAAAAGATACTTTGCTGATCTCTCCTCTGATTTTTATTGACTTCGTTCTCCTAGCTTTCGGTGTAGTTTATTCTCATTCTGGTTCCTTCTAGTGCTCGTAACCTTAAGTTTCCTCTGAGCACCGCTTTTACTGCTCCCGTAAGTCTTGGTAGGGTTTTATTTTCATTCGTCTCCTAGGATTTTCTAATTTTCCTTGTGATTTCTACTTTTGCTTTCATTCCTAACTTCGTTCTTTTGTGCATAACATACATTTTTCTAACGGCCTTTGAGGTATTATCGTTACCACTAGTTTTAAGAAACTTGATTTGCAGTATGCTTTGGGATCGATTTTGCTTCATATTCCCGTGCTGGGAGTTCATTAGACTTCTTGACTGTGTGAGCTTACAGTTTTCCTCAAATTTGAGATTTTTCAGCCATCACATGAGCAGACACATGTTATGCCCCTTTCCTTTCAGATGCTAGTCAGGCCACGGCAGAATGTCCCCTATTTCAAGAACGCACTGCTGCTGCTTCTTCAGTCTTTCTTCTGTGTTGAACTTTGGGCAGTTTATATTGCTCTTCAAGTTCCCTCATTGTTTTGCTCAAGTTCACTAATTTTTGTATACCATGTGTCATCCAACCAGTGTGTTTTTAATGTCAGACGTTGTGGTTATCATCACTCCAAGTTCCATTTGGGACTTTTTATGCCTCTTCTGCCTCTACCTAATATCCCTCTCATGTTCAGCTGTCTGCCTTGCGTTGATAACAACTATTTTCTTGTCCTTGTCTACTAGGAGTCTGTGTTAGTCCCGGTTCTGTTTGCGTTGATAAAATTTTCTCCTGATTATTGGTTATAATTTTCTGATTCTACTCAAGAATGGTGATCTCATTTGGATGGTAGACCATCTGAATTTTACTGTGTTGGGTGTTGGACATTTTCTTTTCCTAAAAGATATTTTTGAGCCTTGTTCTGGGACACAATTAAGTTGCTTATAAACAGTTGGATACTTGAAGTCTGACATTTAAGCTTTGTTAGGTGAAACCAGAATAACTTTTTATTAGAGTTCATACCCTTCTGAAGGCTTTACTGCATGTCCCCTGTATTACAGGTTCCTCTGCTTGGGCCTGTGTGAGCACGAGGAATTGTTCCCTGCAATCCATTGGTTTTCTGTGGTTGACTGTTTCCCCCCAGTAGATACTTTGGGTCCTCATGATTGGAGAGGGGGTGCTACTGGAATCTTGTGGGTGGAGACCAGGAGTACCGTCGGCACCCTGTGCTGTGTAGAATGGCCCCTGACAGAGTGACCCAGCCTCAAATGTCCTTTGTGTGGAAAGACGAGGCCTTGGTCTGACCTTCTAGTATGTCTCCTGCACGATGGCATTTTACTCAGTGCTCAGTGCTCAGCTGTCAGCTCAGAGTGGATCCTCTGATAAGCTCTAGACCACGCTGCCCGATCTACTCTCTCTTTTCTGGCACTTGTGTGCTCGGGCTCCCAGCTCCATCTCTTCAACTGAGAGACCGTGTGTCTGTTGTTTTGTATTTCTCCATCTGTTGGTCTTTAAGTTTTTCTCTTCTTTCTTTTTTCAGATACAAAGGTGAGTCTGGTTACTTTCCCTTAGCCAGACCTGGAGAGTGTGTCTTCTTTCACACCTGTGTGGAAGCCAAACTCTACCGTTTCCAGAAAGGTCTCCGAAAGATCTGACGAAATCAAAGGAGCAGGGAGGGCAGACGTTGGGGTGGGCAGTGTAGGGAGGGACGTTGTCCAGCTGGAGCCCTGTGGCCCCCTCGTGTTGAAGGCCTTGGAAGCATGCTGACACGTTCATAAGCTCTGGCTGGGAGTCCACTCGCCTGGGATTCTGTCGACCGAACTTGAGCAGTTCGGGCTTTGCGGCTTCACAGCTGCTGCTTTCCCAGACATGGATATGTTCCATGTGTTGCTCTGCTCTTGCTAACTTGCCAATGTTTGGTTTCTTTTCAGCTTTTGAACATGTCAAATTACAAGGAGAAGTTTTCAACTTTGCTGTGGCTGGAGGAGATTCAAGCAAAAACAGAACTGACAAAGTATAAAATGAGTGGAGTCCTCCTGAAAAGGAACCGGAACTTACTGGTTTTGGAGGTCCCGGGGTTGACTGAGAGTACACCTTCTCTGTATGCAGGTGTGTTTGTTAAATGCCGTGTTTTCCGGGAGTCTAGCAGACAAACCACTCATAAGGAAAATAATACTTTTAGATGGGCAACGATACAGTCATATTCTCTCATTTTCTTTCCTTTGATTCGACTTTCACTTAAAACTTGATCTGCAGCCTGATTATGTCAAGCATGTCCCCTTGTTACACTTATGTTAAAGCAGTTGTTTTATTCCACGTTTCCAGTGTTGGGTTTTTTAGTACAGCACATAAATTAGCAATGTTGTATTAGCCTTACACATGGAAATATATTTTTTTAACTAGGTGATACATTGATTTTAAAAACTCACGAGTATGATGGACATGTCATCGAGCACATCAGCTATGTGATTGAGGTGAGAGAACTCTCTAAGTGAGTTAATGTTGGACTAGCCCATCTGATGGTCAAAAGGTAACAGTCCTGCCCCTGGCTCTTGGGGCGGGGTCGGCGCTCCCTTGGGCATTGGATGCGTTTAGGACAATTTGAAGATACTGTGAATCGTTAAATAGTGTTTGATGCATGAGCGGAACTGACTATGTCAAGCAATACTCTGATTTTCAGCCACGTAAAACATATTTACCTTCTAGGTTATTTGTGAGTTATGATGTTGTATTGAGTTGAATTTAGGCATTCTCCATGTATTCCAGAAGAGCTAGCAGAGCGAAAGAAGCCTCACAAGGAAAAATGCCCTTAAAAGGTCACAGTTCATATGTGTGTCTGAAGGAAGGTTTGTTGGCTTAACCAGGGGACCCAGATGGTTCTGCCTGGACGGGGGGTGGGGGGGGGGTCTGTGATGGAGGAGCTGGTTTTCACTGCTGTTGTCCTGAGTGTAACCCTGGGAATGATGCTGCATCCGAATGAGAAGGGAAATGCATTCCCTGTGCATCAGAGAAGCTGAAGACACATGCCTTCACATCGAAAATTAAAAGGGAAGGTACCAAAGGCGTTCCTCTCAAAGGAAGAAAAGGTTGAGAGAGCTGGAAGGGTCTGATAAGGATCCAAAGAAGAGGCAACACGTGGCTGTTACTGCCAAACCGGCCCCCTTCTGTACCCTAATAGAGGGTTGATGCTGTGGCATAATTCATAGAACGTCTTTGTCTGGCATTCGAGGACTGTGATATACCCGGTCCAACAATTAGTTTCGGAAACCATCCCAGAAAAAGTACTACATATCTCGTTGCTGAATGTCACTATGGTCGCCTTTGATGTACTCTCCTTGGGAAGCGATGCATCGATGCCAGCACCTTGGCCACCCATCAAAGCGATTTTGGCATGCTTTTTTCTAGAATGGCCATCAGAACTGTCATCTTATTTGTTGAAATCTGACAAAGTCACAAACTTGCCACCATGCATGTATGTTGCCAGCACTGTACAGATAACTGTACTGGAACACCCTCCCTACTCCCCTGATCTGGCCCCCGGTGCCTTTTTTCTTAACCCGAAGTTAAAGGAAATATGGAACGGAAGACATTTGATGACATTCAGGACATCAAGGGGAATATGATGGCCATTCCAGAAAGGATTTCCAAATTTGCTTTGACCGGTGGCCTGGGCGCTGGCATAAGTGCATAGCTTCCCAAGAGGAGTACTTCAGAAGGGACCAAGTAATATTCAGCAGTGAGATAGGTTGCCCTTTTTCTAGGATGAGTTCGCGAACTTGATTGTTGGGCCACGTAAGACACGAGCTTTGCCCTCTGTTTGTTTCCAGCTCAGTGACAGGGGTGAGCACAGTGTTGAGAGGTAGTGGGAGGGCTTTCCCTGAGGATGAGGGAGGGACTCCTATAAATCACTCTTGCACGCAAGAGAGACTTGTCCGTGTATGGAAAAGAGGAGCAGGTGACACTGAGATAGCCTTATAAGACAAAAGAATTTTAGTAGCCCCAAAGGGCATGAGAGGTCACTTCAGATGGTGCACAGGACCCAAGCAGCGGCATAGAGGCTGATGCCTTCATGGTTGAGCAGCATAGACGTCCCTGTGTAGGCCAGGACGGTTGGTTACCTCGGTCGGGATTTTTCCTGTACCTGTAACAAGGCTGTAGCAGCTGGTAGGGGCAAAAGAGACATTCTTTTGAGACCTGTGAGCAGCTCCCAGAATTGTCCTCAGGTAGGCGAGCCAGGCTTGGAGAACAGGGGTTGGGGGAGATTTGTAGGACAAACCACAGCAACAGTGTGTCAGAGCTGGTCTCATGAGGATGCAGACAGAGGCACCACGCCTGGCCTTGCCGGCGTGTCAGTGTTGGATGCTGGTGCTGTGGCCACCCTCAACATGAAGGGTCCTCTGTCCTGTGCCTCAAGGCACCTGGATTCTGGCTGTAAGTCCAGAGTTCCTGGTTGGCCACAACACGTCCTGAGCCCTGGCTTGGGAGCCTCGGGGTCTGGCTCTGGAGCGGCTGCATCATGCAGTGACCACCTCAGAGCTGATGCTGCAGGCCCCACACTCAGGAGTGGTTGCGGCACCCTCAGAGACCCTGGCGTTGGACACCTCACGGTCCCGTGAAGTCAGCTGCTTCCGGCTGGTAAGAGTGGTCAACTCTGCCGATGTCAGCCCATCGCTTTTCTTGATTCTCTCAGATTTAATTTTCTGGCCAGAGCATTGGTGTGGGATATCGTGATGGCATTCTCGAACGCCTCGGGAGGGCCCCGCAGGTGGGGTGGCAGCCGAGGAGAGGCATCGAGAACGAGTCGTTATCCCGTCAGGCCACGTGGCTGTCTGCCACAAGCAGGGGCCCTGTGTGTCCTCCCCGGTACCAGCTGGTAGGATGGTCAGCGGGGCCACCGTCTGCCGTTGGCAGGGCATGCACTCACTGGGGATGGTGGTTCCAGAGCCCCAGGAAGAGGAGGCTCCTGAGGCAGAGCCCATGCCCGGCACTGCTCCTGGCCCTCAGGCCACCACCATGAGGGCCGTCTTGTGTACTGGGAGCATGTGGTTGGGGGAAGCCCCAGCACACTTCCTGCCCTTCAAGTCCAGCTCTCATTCCCAAGTGTTGACCTTGACTCTTTACAGCTGCCTGCAAGGTGCCTACGTTGTCTTGTGCTTGCCTATCTTTGTCTCTCCGTTCTAATTCCATGTGTAGCTTTCAAATTCTCATCCATGATCATGTCAGTATGTGAGATCCTTGGGCCCTGAGTCTGTTGATCGCTGGAGGTGGTGCCCCTCACTCTTGGTGATCTCTTTCCTTCTGAGAGGAGTCATCTTTGCTAATGAATTTGTTGTCGCTTCTCTTAATCTGGGCGGAACCCAGGGGCCCATGCTGAGTGTGCTTTCCTTTTCAGGGGGTGGGGTCGCTTCCGCTGGGTGGGCGGAGCACTGCTGGCGGGATGAGGCCCACCACTCCACTCTGCACGTCCCGTTCACATCGCAGGCCAGTGTCCGCAGACAGATGCTCAGCTCACAGCTGCCCGACCCTGTGCTGGTGTCAGCCTTGACCTGCAGGAAACCTGCACTGCCTGGTCGCTCCCTTATTCAACTGGAAGAGTTTAAGCTTCCTTTCAGTTTGGGACTTTCCTTTCTATTTTTCTTCCTACGTTTCCTCCGAATTGCCCTGTTTTTCTAGGCATGGACATGCAGAGCTGTTTGATGCAGGTCTTGGCTTTAGCTGGAGGGCTTCCCAGAATAGCTAGTTTCCTAGACTGCCAGGGGAGTTCTTGCCATGACCTTTTGATCAAGGCAACGCTTGTGATTGTTTTGTTTGTGCCCTGTGGAATCTGTGGCCTCCCACCCAGTCTACCTCCTTCAGCTTCAGTGGAGGCTGTGGCCCAGTGTGTAGGAGTTTAGTAGAGTATGGTTGGTAGGAGAGGATACGTCTACCAGTTCTTCCTGCTTGTATAATTCCATGGCATGATGATTTAATTCTTTTCAACTAATCATGCAGATAGATATCAAATTTTAGCTCAGAGTTATAGAATGAGTTTGTAATGATGTTTTAGTGGATACAGAGGGATTATTCTTCCAAGAAATCAAGTGTAATGTTATGGAAATTAAATTGTGTTTTCTTTTTTAGATTCATGAAGAAGATGTGACACTTAAAGTGAATCCAGAATTTGAAGAAGCATATAACTTTGAACCTGTGGATGTGGAGTTTACATATAATAGGTAAGGCTTTTAGTGATTCTTTGTGCAGCTGTTTCTTCATCCTTGATAGAACTGTCTTCTCTTGAGTGAGTCCGCTGACAGCTCCGTAGTGATGAGGATGTGCTCACGTGCCTGTCATCGGAGGGCCTGTGTTTCCTGCGTGGCACTGTGCACCCGTGCACTCGTGTTGCATGCCTTATGTGTACCACTTCATTATCAGACGCTTTTCCAGATGTATCGGTGCCTGCGTCTGCTTCTTTATTCTTTTCTGGACAGTACGTACACCAGGTCTTTGGTTCATGCCACAGTCACCGTCAGCCAGTGGTTTCTCGGTCTTGTTCACGTATTTACTTGTTCGATGAGTCGTCCTGTGACCTGCCACCCAGCCGTGCCTTCCCTTCCTCCACTAAATGCCCCAAGCTTTAACTCGAATCGTGCGTTTGTCTTTCCCGTACTTTTCAAGAAAGCGTTTGGGTGTCTTGTGTTCACACATGAAAAATGTATTCTTTGGTTTTAATTCTTTTGAACTTGGTGAAAGGTTAACTTGCTCTGCGTAGTTTCTAGGCGTTGAGGTTTTCACTAAACAATATGTTACTAGGATGTCTCCACGTTGTTGTCTGTAACTATTGTTCACTTATTTTCCCACCACATTATATGCTATTGTGTAGATATCCATCCCGTATCTGTTTTTCTGTTGATGGAAGTTTCATCGCTTCCTGTTCATTTGTTTGTTGTATTATGAACAAGCTGCTGTGCATACTTAGGGATGGGCTTTCTGGGTTTGGGGTAAATTCCTGTGTCCAGCTTCACAGACGTTTGCATCAGTGACTTCTGGTGTCAGTGTGTATAATAACGTGTTGATCATTATCCTTGACATCTTTCCTGAAAGCTCATTTTATTCGTCTTCTTAATTAGTCTTCTTAATTTCTTCCAATCTGGTAGGTGTGTGATATAGGTCAGGATGGTCTTGATTTGTATTTCTCTGATCATTTACAAGGTTGAGAACCCCTGTGTTTGTGGGTCATAAATGTTCATCTTCTCTAAAATGCTTGCTTGTGTCCTTTGCTCTCCTCTTTTTTCAGTAATTCATCTGAGTTTTATTAGTTAAAAGGGTTTTTTTCTATATTCTTTTTGATAATGTCTTCTGAGATATATCTTCTCCACTTCTGTTACTTTTAGCTTTGTTTAAAATATCATCTGATTAACAGAAAGTGCAAAATTTAATGTGCCAATGAAATATGGAATTTATTAGATAATATTTTATTCATGTTTTCTCATTGTTATTAGTAGGTAAGATAGCGATCTGCAGGTGATATAGTTTTCTTCTTTGCTTGGTACTATTATCATGGTAGCTTTGCAAATTTTTTTTTTGATGGCAGTTTCACAGCCATCCCAGTGCAAAGATTCTGAAAGCTTTTCTGTTTTGTCTCTGCCATGGAGAAGTTAGAGTGTATATATATATATTCATTTGTGTATATATATATATATATATATTCATTTATATATGTAGTCGTTTGTGCTGTGAAGGTTTGGTTATATTGATCAACTACTTTTATATTCCATCTTTTTTCCTCTCTTTTGTTTTCAGTGAATTTCAAGGGTCTGAATTCTTAAAATAAAAATCCCTCTTTTTTTCAAAAATTGGGGTCTCAGTATGTTTCCCAGGCTGGAGTACCGTGACACAATCATAGCTCACCACAGTCTTGAATTCCTGGCCTCAAACGATCCTCTCACTTCAGCCATCCAAGTAGCTTAGGTTATGGGCATGCACCACCTTGCCTAGCTCAAAATGACTTTTTTTGGGAAACAGAAATATTAATCTTTTTTTCACACTTTATAGGCTGTTTTCATTTTTTTACTTGTCCATTTTATATTTTAGAACATAAATATTTCCAGAATGGAAGAGTTCCTGCTATTCTGATATTTCAGTGTTGAAAATTTTCTTAGAAAGTTTCTAATTTTCTGTTATGTATAGATATGTTATTGAAGTGACTGATGAGTCCTGTAAGTTTTCCAGTAATGTCTTTGAGACCTTATAAGACCGTGACCCTCTGATATAGTCATTATTTATAAAATTTTTGTAGAGGTTACCTGGGTATATTGACTTAAATATTAGGCAATCAAATTTCCATGTCCTATCACAGCCTTCATAGTTCTGAACTTAAGGTTAGTTTATGTTGTTTTCTTTCTGGCAGGACCTCAAGCAGATGGTGCCACTTTGCACTTGAACAAGTTATCTACCTAGGTGCAAAAGGTATTATCTTTTTAGAATGACAGTGTTACATATTTTCAGAGTATTTTTATAGGCTTTATATAAAGTTGTGTGTGAAAGTCTCTTTAATCATGACATTAGATGTAAAGTTATGTGATTCCCTCATGTTTTTTTATTTGCTATTGGGGAGTTTCAGTGTTTTCTTACTATTTCAACTTAATAAGGAACAAAAAGTAACATTCTGAGATAATTGAGAATTGGTTATGCTATGCTTTTCCCCTCATAATGTAATTCATTTTTTGTACATAACAAATAGAAAAACAAGTGGCTTTGTTGCAAAGAATATGAAGTACTGGTATAATGCTATAATTTTAAAATAGTATTTTTTATTTTTCACTGTAAAAATAATAGAGTGGAATATTAATTACTTTAGGTTCAGCCATAAACATTTAGTCTTTATTCATATTTTTTAGCTTTTCTGTTATATGTATGTTCTTACCTTTTTTCATTTTAAAAGTGTTGTTTCCAGAAGAAATCAATTTAAGGTATCCTCAAGTGAGAGAGAATTGGAGCCATGCACAAGACACCCAAAGAAATGGACAGTCTACCACCAAGGTAGTGCTTTGATGACTTGATCTATTTAAATAAATAATGTTATGAATTCACTTGACTGGAGTGTTCAGAAGAGTGTAGTTTAAACAAAATCCAAAATCACTGTTAAAATAAAACAAAATTTTCATGAAATAGATTTAGTATTAATTTTATATGGAATTATATATAGAGCTAAGATAGCTACACTATAATAAGTATAAAAAGCAGATATAAAGATAATAGAGTTGCATGATCTTATTATTATCTTATAATTAAATAGTTTTTGTATGTACTCAGGTACATTGTGTGACTGTACATGCACAGAACATATATGGAAGGGGTGGCATGGTGGCTCACATCTGTCATCTCAGCACTTTGGGAGGCTAAGTGGGGAGGATTGCTTGAGCCCAGGAATTTGAGACCAGGCTAGGCAACGTAGACAGCATCTCTACAAAAAGAAAAATCAACAAATTAGCCAAACATGATGGTACATGCCTGAAGTCTCTGCTACTCAGGAAGCTGATGTGGGAGGATTGCTTGATCACAGGCATTTGAAGCTGTAGAGAACCATGATCATGCCACTGCCCTCCAGCCTGGGTGATAGTGAGGGAGACCTTGACTCCTTCCCCCCCAAAAAAAAATGTCTGGCAGGAAGCACACACAGCTGATTGTTAATATTTGTAATCTTTGTGAATGTTGCAAAGATACTTCATTTTATACTTCTATAGTTCAGTCACTCCATAAAGAGTGGTGTAATGTCTGTTATGTGCCAGTTATTCTCTTGGGCTCTCAGTGTAGTTTTGTGAATAAAACTTAAGTGGTTTTATATATTATTGTGTTTTTAGTAACACAAAAAGCATCCATGCCATGATACAGCTTACAACTTACAATTCTATGCTATAGAAATTTGGTTTAATTAGCATATTTTAAATACATGCTATGAATTTTTAAAGTATATCTAACATTTATAAACCCCTTTGTCATTGTATATTCCCTATCCAACATGCAAAAATGGTGGCTTTAAAGTGCCTGCATAATCATGGAAAATACTATAAATGAAACAGCAAAAGGTTATCCATGAAAACCATCTGCTGTGTATTTTATATTTGAAGTTTCTTTTGTTCTGTAAATAGAAAGTGGTCTTCATTGGGCACAAATGCAGTGCTTGCTTTATCACCTCGTTGTGAGTCCATTTCACTGCCTGATTCTCAGTCAGGGTCTGCCTGTAAGGTGGGGTAGGTGCTGCTATTTATATTTAGGTGGGCACATTTCTAATTGGCTGAATCTTAATATTTCAAAATGCAGAACATTATCTTCGAATGGATTACCTAGGTTGAAAATAGACTCAGGAGCATTCCACACATCAACCAAGATGGAAATTCAGAAATCAGACTTAACCTTCCTGCCTGAAGCAATTCAGAACCAGACAAAAAACATAAAATGAGTTTCAGACATTGGATGTAGCTATCATAGGAACAGTGATTCCTGAGAAATGAAACAAAAGAGGTTACCCTGTTATTTCCCCAACTTACAGCCTTCAGAGTATGTTCTGACCAGAGAGCAGAAAAGGACATCCCAGGCAGAGCCTAGTATTCTACCAAAGTTAAGGAGATAAAATTTGGAAGTGAAGGGAGGAAGAAGCGGATAGAGTTTACAGGGCAAAGTACTGGGGAGAGGGCAGAATATGGAGACCATTCTGGGGATCTAGACGTTCCCTTTTGAGATTTCATCTGAATACTGGTTAGTGCATGCTGTGAGTAAAAGAACCAGCTAGAAAGAACAGAGAAAACGACCCTCAAAGTTGACACAATGCCAAAAGTAATTTATTCACACTGGCAGAAAAGGCAAACCTCATAATTTTTTTTATTTTTTTTTGAGTTGGAGTCTCACTCTGTCACCCAGACTGGAGTGCAGTGGCCGCTCCCGGCCACTGCAGCCTCAACCTGCTGGGCTCTGGCGATCCTTCTGCCTCAGCCTTCCAAGTAGCTGGAACTACAGGCGCGTGCTACCATGCCCGGTTCATTTTGATTTATTGTAGAGATGAGGTCTCACCAAGTTGCCCAGGTGGGTCTCGAACCCATGGGCTCAGGCAATCCACTCACCTCAGCCTCCTAAAGGTACGGGATTACAGGCTGAGCCACTGAGCCCAGCTAGAAACCTCATAATTAACAGATTATCAGGAAGAGTCACCAGAAGGGTGTTGCTTCAGGAGTGTGGAAAGTGGAGCCCTTGACTGAAGGCTCCTCTGGCCCAGAGTGACACAGTATGATGAAAAGCCTCAAAAGAAGCAGACTGTTTCCAAGTAATTTAATTACATTCTAGAACAAAGTTTAAAAATGTTTATAGGAATGTAAGATTGTCCAGCATCAAACAAGGTATAAAATTCAGCATCTGACATCTTTTTAAAAAACAAACTGAAAAACCACAACTCATAAGGAGAAAATTTGCTCAACTGGAATCATATCCCAAAATAACATGATTTATTTAGTAGACTATGACATTAAGACAGTTACTATAACTATATTCCATTTTCATAAGAAAGCAGAAGACATGAGCACATCAGAGACATGAAAGACATATAAAAGGCACAAGTGTATCTTCTATAGATGAAAAATGAAAATGAAATGAAATGAAAAATATATTGGACAGAATTAACAGCAGACTAGACAATAGAGAACAAACAATAGTGAACTTAAAGACATAGCAATAGAAACTATCGTAAATGAGATAAAAAACATTTTAAAAACCACTGAAATTTCTCTAAAAAAAAGTATCTTTTGAAAAACCATGAAAAAAGCATTAGTGAGTTATGGGACAATTTCAGAAAACCTCATATACATGTTATTAGAGTCCCAGAAAGGAAAACATAGGAGAAATGTTTGAAAAAGTAATGTCTGCAAGTTTTCAAATTTGAGGAAAACTATAATGCCGCACATGTCCAGGAAGCTCCAAAAACACTGTGTTTAAGAAACATGAAGAAAATTACAGCAAGGTGCATGATAATCAAATTGCTTATACTAAGCCACATAATAATCAAATTGTTTAAAGCCAGTAATAAAGATCAAATCTTAAAAGCAGAGGGTAGGCCATTGCCTTACTAGACTCTGGTGTGGCCATGTGCTCTCTGAGGTATGGCTGTCGCCACGCTTCCTGGCGTTGGCCCCTTCCCCACCTTGGGGAGGTGAATCTTCTCTCTCCTTTCTCTTTCTCTCTCTAATTTACTTTTAAATAAACTTTTCTTTCTTTGCAAAAAAAAAAAAAAGCAGAGGGTAGGAGAGAATGGAGAAAGGTTACGCAATGGATAGAAAAATACAGAAGGAACAAGATCTAGTATTTGATAGTACAGTAGCATGGCTACAGCTAATAATGGATGGTATCATTCAAAATATCTGGAAGAGAAGAATTGGAATGTTCCTAATATAAATGAAAGATAAATGTTTGAGGTGATGGATGCTATCCCAATTGCACTGATTTTATTATTGCACGTTATATGCATGTATTAAAATCACATGTACCACTAAAGTATGTGCAACTATTACATATTAGTCTTTAAAAGAGAGAGAAAAGGTCTTATTACATATATAGCAGAAGTAAGAATAGTGGCAGGCTTTTTAAAAATATAGTACAGCAGGCCAGAAGACAATAACATATCTAACATACTGAAAAAAACAAAAACTGTCGACCAGAATTCTATGCCTTGTAACACTTTTCAAAAATGAAGTTGAAATATAAACTACTTCAGACATAAAATCTTAAAAATTAAAGAACAGTCAATTTAGAAAACCTGCACTACTAGAAATAATAAGGTCCACAGGCATAAAAATATTATATCACACGGAATTGAGAATCTATACAAAGTGATAGAAAGAACTAGAAATGATACATATGTGGATAATGTAAGCATTTATCTTAAAAATTCTTTAAAGGCTAACTGACTTTGGAGCTGAAATAATAGCAGTACAGTGTGAACTTTATAATAATGATAGATCTCAAATATATGACAACAACAGGACAGAGAATAGGAGAAGATAATAATATTGTAAGGTTATTAGAGGACATATGAAGTGATATAATATCACATCAAGTAGACTGTAAGCTGTTAAAGATGTTAAGCCTTAGGACAAACACTAAAATAACAACACAAAGAGTTATAGCTAACAGACCAACAAAGAAAATAAAAGGAATTATGAAAATAATTAATTAGAAGAAAGTAAAAGAAGGACATATGTGCAAGGCTGCTATAAATGTACTGATTTCCTGTCCATTTTTATGGTCATTTAGTGAGGGAGGGATGTTCAAATTAGTAAATACAATTTTGTACCTAGAACAGATAAAATACTGGAAACAAATAGCTAGGTGTTAGTTTGAACTCTAACCATATCAATGATTACATTTGATGCACATGGTCTAAACACTGCAATAAAAAGGGAGAGGTTGTCAGATTGGAAAAATACGAAAAACCCAAGTAGATGCTCCATGTAAAAAGGAAAAAAAAAGATTATATAGAATACATCAAAATAAGCTAAAAGGATGGGAAAAGATATAATCAGAAAGAAAGATAAAAATGGCAGTGATCAAGAGAATGGTAGAGTCACTGTACTAATATCAGACAAAGTAGATTTCAGAGCAAAGATTATCAGGATAAAGAAAACAATGTCATGATAATAAATAAAATAATTCATCAGGAATACATAAAAATTTAAATTCTGTGTTCCTAATAACAGCTTTAATATACAGAGTGTGCCAAAAAATGTATGCACATTTTAAGAAAGGAAAAAAACTGGATTAAAATCATAATACTCAATACAATGAATATAAGTCATGTTTGACTCTGCAGTTACAAGAGGTGCTCAAAGTGGTGATCATCAGCATCTAGACACTTCTGATTTTGGCATACATCTCTCAATATCTCTTAAAATGTGTATACACTTTTTGGCACTCCTGGTATATGAAACAAAAACTGATAGAGCCTCAAAAAGAATAGACAAATGTACAGTTACAGTCAGAAATGTTGGTATACGTTTCTCCATTAATGACTAAAAAGAAAGAGAATCAGCATGGATATAGTAGACTTGAACAACAGAGCCACCCAAAGTGATGTAAGTTAAGTTTATGAAACACTTTAACCAACAATAGCAGAATATATCCACTTCCTTTGGAAGTATTATTGGGACATTTTCCAAGATATACCATTTTGGGGTCCAAAAACAAGTCTCAAGTTTAAAAGGATTAAAGTCATACAAAATAAAATAACAAACAGAATGGAAACAAATTAGAAATCAATAACATAGCCTCTAGAAAACCTTCAAATATTTGAAAACTGAAGACACACTTATAAATAATCCATGGGTCAAAGAAGACATTAAAAAAGTGAAATTAACAAGTATCAGGATAAAAATCAAATGCAACATATCAAAATTTGTGAGATGCTGTTATAGCACTCTTTAGGGGAAATTTATACCATCGACTGCCTAAATTTAAAAAGAAAAGAGTTTCAAATCAATGACCTCAGTTTCCTCCTTAATAAACAAAAAAATAACAATTGAAACTAAGCCAAAGCGGAAAAAAAAAGTCAACATTGGAGTAGAGATCAATGAAACAGAAAACAGAATCAGCAGGGAGATTGATGAACCCAAAAGCTGGTCCTTTGAGGTGAATAAAATTGCTAAATCTCAAACCATACTGATAAGAAGAAGAAAAGAGTGAAGACACAAATTTATCATTATCAGGAATGAAAAATGTGACATTATCTCAGAGTTTATAGGTATTAAAAGATAAGGGGATATTAATGTGGTAATTTTATGTGTCAGTTTGACACAGGGTGCCCAGATATTTGTTCAAACATTATTCTGAGTGTATCTATGTAGGAGTTTTTGGATGACATGAGTATTCGAGTTGGTAGAGTGGTAAAAGCATACATGGCCCTCTGTAATGTGGGTGGGTACTTCCAATCAATTGAAGGCCTGAATAGGACAAATAAGCTAGCCACCTGCCTACATCTCATACCTCGCCCCCAATAGTTAAAGGAATCTCCTCCTGCCTGAATGCCTAGAGCTGAGACATTGGTCTTCTATTCTTGGGTCTCAAGCTTGCAGCTTTAAGAATATAACTTACACCTCTGGCTCTCCTAGGTTTTCAGCTTCCTAACTACAGAACTTTGAACTTCTCTCAGCCACCATTACAGCTTGAACCAATTTCTTGTAGTAAATATCTTTCTCCTTCTCCTCCCTCCCTCCCTTATCCGACACATACACACATGCATGCATGCATTCCCCATTGGTTCTGTTGGTTGTTTCTCTGGAGGACCCTGACTAATACAAGTATGAACAACTTTGTGCTAATAAAGTTAACAGTTTATATTTTTAAAAAATTTGTTGTAAGATTTATCAAATTACTCAACAAGAAATTCATAACCGAAATTCATAACCTAGATCTATTTAATAAATTGAACTTACAGTTAAAGCAATTTATCTTGATCCTGCCACAAAATTCCATGCCTGGGTAGTTTCACTGGTCAATTTTTGTCAAACACTTCAGGAAGAAATACTATGAGTTCTACACAAACTTTTCAACTTAGTGAAATTTAGTTTAATTCCAGGCTCATTTTATGAGGCATCATTACACTGATACCAAAACAACATCACAAAGATAGAAGAAAGCCAAATACCAGTATTACTTATGAACATAGACCCCAAAATGCAGAAATAAAATTTGGGCAAATTGAATATATATGAAACTAAGAAGGGCTCATCCTAGGAATGGTTTGACATTTCAAAGGGCAATCAGTTTAAATAACAAGCAAATTTTTTTTAAAAGGGTAATCATCACAGTAGATACAGAAAAAGCATTTGATAAAATCCAACATCCATTTCTGATTAAAAAAATAATTCAGCAAACTAGAAATGCAAGAGTATGTCCTTCACCTACGAAAAACCTACATAATGGTAAGTACCTAAATGCTCTTTCTCTGAAAGCTCAGGATGAAGGCAAGACCACTCTTAGCATTTCTGTTCAACATTGTATGTTGTAGACAGGCAAAAAGAAGCATCCACATCACATGGAAAATCACATGGAATCTAAAATAAAACGGAACAGTCTAATAAATGATTTACCAAAATTATAAGATACAACATTAGTATACAACACTGAATTGTATTTCTGCATACTTTTTATAAAAACTCCGAAATTGAATTAAAAAGAGCATGTATGGGGGGAGACCAAAAAAACCTGAAATTAATTTGTTAAAAATGTATATATTTATTCTTACAAGTTTAACCTTCAACCACCTTCAATACACCTATTGAGACACTTTTTCCACTACTCAAAATGGTTTTTTGAATTGATATATTTTGATGCCTTTAAGTGCTTCTGCTTTTTTTTGTTTCGCCTATTCCACATTGGCAAAATGTTTCCCTTTGAGGATGTTTTTCGTCCAGGGAAGCAAAAGTGTCTTGGGGCAAGATAGGGTGAATAGAGAGGGTGGGGCACAAGGGTAATGTGGTTTTTGGTAAAAAAAAAACAAACAAAAGACTGCTGAACATTCAGCGCAGTGTGCACAGATGCACTAGTAAATCACCCATGATGAAATGGCCAAACAGGTTGAAAGACTCCCCACAAAAAAATTTGCTGAAGCTGAATGCAGCTGTTCACAGTAATGCTAGCTGATACACTGAGGCCAATGGGTTCCTAAAACACTTACCTAGTTGGAAAAGCCTGTACTGCAAGGGGCCTCCAGCTCCAAAATATAATTATGGTTTTTGAGGGTCATCCCTCGTAAATTTTTTAAACATTAGGGATAAATCTGACATAAGATTACCAAGGTTCCCTACTGAAACCTATAAAACATTGATTAGAAATTAAAAGACCTAAATGGATGGAGATAGTTTTTATCTCATAGATCAGAAGACTCATTATTATCGAGATGCTTGTTTTATCAAAATTAATTTATAGATAGAGTATTCATGCAACTATGTGACTCTGTACCTGTACCTCATAGCATATATAAAAATTGACTCTCACTGATAGTCCATAGCCCTAAATATAAGGCGTAAAGTTATAAATCTTCTAAAAAACAACATGAGATAAAATCTCTACATTCTGTGACCATGCAAAAGGTTTTTTTATGTGACACTAAGTGCATGATTTATAAAGAACAAAACTGACAGATTAGACTTCAATGAAATTAAATACCTTACTGTTCAAAAGTCCCTGTTAAACATCCAGATGTGGTGGTATGAGCTACTCCTTGAGAGGCTGAAGTGTGAGGATGCTCAAGCCCAGGAGTTGGAAGCTGCAGAAAGCTGTGATCACACTACTGCACTCTAGCCTGAGTGGCAGAGCAAGACCCCAGTTCTGAAAAAGAAAGACATTGTTGAGACAATAAAAAAGACACAGACTAAGTAAATATTTGCTAAATTGCGTATCTGATAAAGCACCTGTGTCAAGATTACATATTGAAGTACTCTGGAAACAACTCAATTTGTAAAAGTAGATCAAAGACCTGAAAAGACACTTTACCAGATAATATATACAGATGGTTATAAGCCCATGAAAAGAAGTTTGACATCATTAGTTGTTAGGGAAAATAAATTAAAACCACAATGAGGTACCACAGCACCCCTCCTAGAATGGCCAAAATTTAGAACATGGGCCGAGTGTTGAAGAGCACATGGGACAAGTGGAACAGAGTTGTTCCAGTGGGAGCAGATTGGGACAACCACTGTGCAAAAGATTTTCGTATAACAGCCAGGTGAGCACCTGCTATATGATCCCACCATTTCTCTCTGTGTGTATCCTAGTGAGATGAAGACATGTGGCCATAAAAGACTCATACATGAAGTGCACCACAGCTTATTTGTAATCATCAAAGCTGAAAACTGCCCAATATCCATCAAGAGGTGGAGGGATAAGCATATTGTAGTATATTCTTAAAATGGGATACTATTCAGCATTAAGAGGAACAAACTGTTGATACAGAAAAGTAGATGCATATCCAAACAATTATCCTGTGTGAAAGAAGTCAGACCAGAAAAGAGCACATACTATGTGATTCCATTTATATAAACTTCTAGAACATGTAAGGCAACCAGTGTTACTGGAGGGAACTATTGCAAAGGGGCATAAAGAAGCTTTGGATCTGTTCATCTTGATTGTGATGGTTTCACGGGTACATACACGTGTCATACTGTCAAATGATACACTTATGTGTGCCTTCTATATCAATTATACTCTGCAAAACTCACACAACAAATTTTGGAGGGTATATTGGTTTAATGTTCTGGACTAAAATTTGGCAATATGTGTCAAATTTTTAATATAAAAGATTTTGATGCAGCAGCCTTATAGATTCTAGAATTTATCCCATAAAAGTAATTAAGTGATGGCAGCTTTCTATCAATATTTTTTATTTTCATTATTTATCAAAGGATCGGACCTGTGATCCCACCAAAAAGTTGTTAAATAAGTGGAACACTAGTAAATGTTTATGCATGCTCTTTACACTAAGTCAGTGAAAACACCAAGCCATATTTCTAAATCATTTTTCTACATTGTGTTTCTAGGATAGGAAAACCCCAAGGGACCAAAGAAAATGGAAAAAGGAGAGGAATGTTGGTGCCAAGAGCCTGCCGGGAATGGTAGCCTGTGCTGCAGTGACAAGTGATTTGGGTATGTGTTTGTCAGGGGGTAAGTGAAGGGCCTGCAAGAGAATGGTGCCTGGAGAAGAGGGACCTTGAAGAACTCACTCTTATATAGAAGGTAGAATGGTCAGGGGGGTGTATGGCCTCTGACAGTTGGCCTCTGTTGACCTTGACTGGAGAACAAGTGGAGACTCAATATGTTACTTGAAATCCTTTCAAGACTTTTAGGTGGTGGATCACTTTTACCAGGTGCTCTCTTATAAGATGTAGACATTTTGAAAGCCTGTCTCTAATATTGGTGGGTGATATTGCATATACAAAGCAGAAGAATCCATTAAATGGCCTAATTTTTTTTCTCTCAGAAAGCTAAATTAGTTTTCCTGACTCCGTCTGCCAAAGCATGAACAGATTATTAAAGGGAACACACTATGCTCGTGTCTTACCCATGGTCACTCGAAGAGCTGGTCCTCATCTGTGGTTCCATTTTTGCTTTTAATGCAGCCTGTGCTGATGCCTGAGAGGGCATGCCCACAGCTGTTCAAAGCTGTTTGAGTCTAACTGAAGCTGTTTCTCCACTTTGAACACCATAGATGAAATCCAGACTCCCAATGCAAGAGAGCAGGAATTTTTCAATCCAGTGCTAAATGAAAATCAGAAGCTAGCAGTTAGAAGAATTCTTAGTGGCCACTGTCGCCCCCTCCCATATGTTGTTTTTGGACCTCCTGGGACTGGAAAGACAGTGACAATAATAGAGGCTATTTTACAGGTAAGGGCAGTGGCACTGTGGCTGCCGTGGTTCTGTTGTACTGTTTGTGTGTTGTCCTCACGTGTCTGTGTTCAGGAAGGCTGAGATTAAATTGTAGAATCAGAGATTTGTTAAGAGTTTGAGAAATCTCAACTATTTCATAATTTTTAGTTAACTTTATGAGAATATGTAGGATTTTACAAGCTTATTTCATAGGTTTAGAAGGAAATTCTTTATTTTCAGCATAGTAAACCAAGTAATCGCATCATGAAACTTTGCCACAGAAAAGAAGTTACCCTAACAGTAGCTAAAGCTACCATTCTGCAGAGCTTTGGCTATTTCTGTTTATATTTTAAATTAAATTTATGAAAGTGTTTGTATAAATGCTCCTCAATTTATGGTGGGGTGACCCAATAAATGTATCATAATAAACTGAAAACATTGTAAGTTGAAATCCATTTCTAGGTTATCAGGAAGTAACTCCATTGTAAGTTGGGGAGCATACCAAATTCATATTGTTTTCACACCGTCATAAAATCAAAAAAATCCTAAGTCATAACATCATAAGTTGAAGACAGTCTATATTTAGTATTTTTGTGTCATTCAGGATCCAGCTTGGCAGACATCTATTACATGCTTGCCTCAGTACCGTGCAAATGAATGTGATTCAGTTTCATTTCTGAAAGGTGGTGTAGGATCCTGGTAAGCGCAGAGAGCTTTAGCAGCCAGCCTTAGGTCTTGGTGTGGTGAGGCTGACCATCAATCTCAGGCTGCGTGGGCCTATGTCTCAGAGATGTCAGGGATGACAGCTGAGGCCCTGCACACGAACCCATGTGTGCTGGATGTTAGGATCATGGCTTCCAATTGGCAGGGATGGCATTTATGATTCTTAGTTTCTTTTGTGTCTTTGATGCAGGTACATTTTGCTATGCCGGACAGTCGGATTCTGATCTGTGCACCCTCTGATTGTGCCGCTGACCTTATGTGTCTGCATCTACATGAGAGCAAGGTGCTGCGGCCAGCTGCCATGGTCAGGGTGAATGCTACCTGCAGGTTGGAGGAGGTGAGCACCCAGTGTCAGGGGATGGGGCCCCAGGACCAACTGCTTGAAGAGTAGGGAATGACAGTGGGCAGGTAAGGGCAAGGGAGACAGGAAAGAGGTGGAGAGTTGCCACTGCCCTGTGCCAAAAATCTGCTAAACAGGTGACTTTTCTTCCTGAATATTTCATGACTTTCTCACACTCTCTGTATAATCAGTCCCATTCTTAGCTTTGTTAAATTCTCAGCTTCTGTCCAGGTGTGGTAGCTCACGTCTGTAAATTCAGCACTTTGGCGGTGTAGGTGAGAGGATTGCTTGACCCCAGGGGTTTGAAACCAGCCTGGGCAACTTGGTGAGACCTGATCTCTACAATAAATCTAAAAAATTGGCCAGGCATGGTGGCACATGCCTGTAGTCCCAACTACTTGGGAGACTGAGGTGGAAGCTTTGCCTGAGCCCAGAAGGTTGGAGCTACAGTGGCCATGAGTGTGCCACTGTACTCCAGCCTGGGTGACAGAGTGAAACTCCAACTCAAAAAAAAAGAACAAAGAAAAACACAATTCTCACCTTTCTCTTGTATTTGATCGTCAATTGGACTGTTTCTTTTGAATACTGTTATATTGGCTTGGTTTTAAACATCCCTTTTGGGAAATCATACATTTCTGCTTTGCTTCTAGAGTGAAGCATTGCTTTAACAAAGAACTGAATCTACGAAACGTATAATGTTGTTTTGGGGGAATTATAGGATCTTATGTTCTGTCCATGGCTCTAGAGTCCACACAACATGGACTGAAATGATAATGGAAGCATGCAATGTTTTAATGTAAGAAAACAACCTTAAATCATTACCTAGTCAGAACTAAGAAGGGGCAACAGGGCAAGATTATTTCTTAGAATTCCTTTCAGATTTGTGATTCTGTCCAACTTAAAGAAATGCTTAGTCATGTGAAAAATAAACTGCCTCCCCCCTCCTGGCCCAGGCAATCACTGATGACATCAAAGCATACAGCAGAGATGGAAAAGACATCTGGAAAGCTTGCCGCTATAGGATCGTCATTACAACGTGCAGCACTGCAGGACATTTTTACGAAATTGGAGTGAGGTGAGTGCTTGGCATTAAGTAGGGGCCAGAGTCTCACAGGAAAGAAGTCGGTGTCCTCTTCCAGCATCTGTCTGAAGGGTGGCTGGTGGCACAGAGACATGGCAAAACTGGAGGAAGGTCCATGGTGTGTGAGGGTCTGTCTGGGTGAACAGGGCGTACACGTACCTAAATGGGGCCAGGGAAGGGATGTCTGTGCTGAGACCCCAAAGACCTGAAGGTCTCGACAGTGGGAAAGATGGGAAGATGCACTAGCACATGCAAATGTCCTGTGGTTAGCAAGCCCTGAGTATGGTATCCCAAAGGGACTGCAGAGCCAGAACCTCATGGGCAAGAATGGCAGGGTAATGAAGTGGAAGCCTGGTGTCAGGGCTTTGTGGACTGTGGAGAGACCTTGGGACTTGGTCCCATTGAAGAGCTTTTCAGCAGAGTTGCAAGTCCCATCGAGGGGTTATTGAAGGCAGGCTTGTCAGGAAACAGCTGGAGTCTCTAAGGCCACATTTGCCCCCTTGTGTGGCAGGACTCTGCAGAGGAGACAGGCGGGGGGAGATGGAGCATCCTGAGCTGTTGGCTATCATGGAGGGACTTGCCCTGGAAGCTGGGAGGAAGGGTTGAGAGCCTGAGGAGGCTGAGCAGGGCACAAGGCAATCTCATCTCAGAGAGATGTGGCGAGGCTGAAATAGGAAGACACAGGCAGCCCCTCTGAGGGCTAGAGCCAGACGGTGAGGTGGCAGACTAAGGGCTAAGGGAGGGAGAAGGGTCCCTGAGGGAGCGCCTCACCTGCCCTGATGGGCTGGAGATGGTCCCCCAGGATACTGTCTAGTGTCACTGTGGCTGTCAGGGTGACCATGAGTGAACCTCACCTGAGTCCACACACACTCTCACCTGCCTCTGCCATGCACCGTGTGTGTCCATCAACCCCACATGGAATGTGGTAATGATTGCTCCATGTATTTAAGTTACTATCCTAAATACTTAATATCATTCTATCATGTAATTAGTGTGACAGTGATTAATGCAACACTGTTTTTGGTTCAAGTCTTCCAATTCCACCCAGTGTTTATTGTTAGAGCATTTCATATTTCCTACTAGGTACTCATAAGGTGCCCAAGAGGTGGGGTGGCTCCTGGATTATATTGTGCAGGTCTAATTAAGAGAGAGGGATTTTATGTTAACATGTGTTGATGAATCAAAGGTCTAAAGCCTGGAAAGGGAGAAACTGCCAGAAAGAACAAACCCAGGCTCCTTCATTGTTGAGCTGTACCTTACTGGTGTGCCCAAGACCCTGTGCAGCGCAGGGCAGGCCTATTCAAAGGCATGGACCCTGCTCTCATGGAGTCAATGTCCAGATGGGAAGAGGAGATGGTCAGCCAGGGCAGGTCACCAGTTTGCAAAACTCCAGGCAGGAGCCAAGGAGCAGGGAAGGTGCTGATATTCCAGGCTTGAGAGGCCTACAGGGTCAGTAAGGGGCACTAGAGCAGCAAGATGCTCCAAAGGTGCACAGAAGGAGCAGTGTAATTGGTACAGGTGACTTAAATAACTGCAATTAACATGGAATTGAAAACTGAGAAACACTACATTCTAGTAAAGATACATCCAGTTGGTTTTTTTAGGAGTCAGGAGCACGGGGAGGGAAGATGGAAGTGTGCTGATTTCCTCATTTTCACAGTGAGGAGTGAGTGGGTGTCACTTGTGAGTCTATATCTGGAGATTTGCAAATTCAGGTCTGCAATTAGTGGTGTCTGCCCACTAGGAGTGGGAAGCAGGACACTGTGGGGGCTGGCACTACCATGGACTTTCCCAAACAGGTGTCTGATTGGGGGTTTCTGCCCTCTGTGAGACACTCCAGGATCAAAGGTGACAGAATTTGTTCAGCATTCTAGGCTGGAGGGAGGGAGTGCCGGCTCAGCCAGCAGAAGGGCATAGGCCCAAGTTTCGTTCTGACTGGTGTGGGGCTGGCTGAGATCTGTCCTCTTGGGTCTGAATCTACTCCTTCCGGTGTTGGCATGGGGAGGTGTCACATGCTACCTTGAAGCTGGCTGTGGTGAGGGTCTGGAGAGAGGGCTGACCTGTTCCTCTGAGCTCCTGTGGCCTCAGTCTGTTGGCATGGCAGGTGGGGCAGTGACCTGCTGGGAGCGGCTCAGGAGGGCACGTTGAGGGAAGATGGACAGCTGGAGGGAGCAGCTGCCCTGTGTGGCCACTTGCCCAGCCAGGCCTGTTTTCACTGTTCACCCTGACCAGCTCGTGCTTCCACAGCAGCCATGTCTCACGTGGCATGTAGGAAATGGAGAGGGGACGCAAATAGAGAGAGGAAGCAACCTGCCCAGGGTCACACAGCTAGGAAGTGGGTAGCTAGGACTCAACCCTGGGCATTCTGGTTAATCACTAGAAATCAAATGTAGAGCTGAAACCATGCCATAAGCACTCTGTACCCAGGAAACTGCCCTGAGGAGCCTCTTGGGACCCTGTTTCTATCCAGCCCTCCTCACCTGTTGTCCATCTACAGATCTTTTAAACACATCTGTTGTTCACGGAGCACCAGGTGCTGATGTAGATTATTTGGCATCTCATGAAAGGCTATGGCCCATGGTCACTCCCAGCCCTGTGACATCCAGGCTCTCTACCCTCACACAGCCCTGGGCAGCCCTGCTGTGACACATGTGCCTAGCATGACTTTGCCAGCCTGTGTCATGAGTGTTGCTTGCTAAAACAATGTGACAGGAGTTACCATTGAGAACACCTTTGGTTCTAGGATTGGTCACTTCACACACGTGTTCGTGGATGAGGCCGGGCAGGCGAGTGAGCCTGAATGCCTAATTCCTCTGGGGCTGGTCTCAGATGTCAGTGGCCAGGTAAGGCCCATTTGCTGTTTGCTGTGTGTTTGCTGTTCCCTGTTGATCATGTTTCCCTCAGGGATGGGTACCAGCGTTCTTCAGGTGACAGTCAATACTTTAAGGAGTCAGGTGAAAGGATTCCTGGCATTGGAACTAGAGGCCATGGAGCACCTTGTTCCCATCCTGTGTTATCTTTTTGGCCTTGGAGTAATGTGGCCACTTTGTCTTAACTGGTTCACTTAGATGTTAAAATGCATCTCAGTTATTGGGGTGCCATGGTAAAATCAACACCTGGGGTCCTGCCCTAGATGAGCCCTCAGTGTCTGTAGGAGAAGACAGTGCCTGAGGCCTGGCTGCCTCTGCCTCGCCCACTCCCTTTGGCTGCCCCCATCTTCCAGCTTTGCTTATCCAAAGCAGATGTTCTTGTCTGAGTCACTGCCTCCTCACTGCTTCCTGGGGTGCCCTGAGAGTGACATGGGCATCATCTTGAGCTCCCCATCCTCTCACTGTCTACTCAGTTAGTACATGCTCATCTGGTATTTTTTGCATGGTAGTTCCAGGCTCTTGATGCCCTATCTTTGAATGCTAGCCTGAGGGCAGCTCCCCACCCCCTGGTCATCAGGCACTATGAGGTGGAGTCCAGGGGAGGGGCCCCGGCAAAGAATGAAGGTTGGAGGGAGGTCGGGGTGATGTGGGGTGAGCTACCTCTCTGGTCAAGGCAGTTGTAGGGGAGGGACAGGGATCGGCAGCACGATGTCAGTACAGCATTGAGCCTTCAGCAAAACAGAGCATCAGGGAGCAACACTAAAGGTCCACCAGGGTTGGGCGCACTGAAGCTTTCAGAGGACAGGCCACATCCCCAGGGCTCTCTGTCTCTTTGCACATTGAGAGGTTGGCAGGAGAGACATCCGGACTGCAGGAACTGGCAGATGGCAGGGCTTGAGGAAGCAGGTGGAGACCATTCTAGGAAGGAGCTTGTGTCTCAAGCCATTTTGGTTATTTTTCCATTTCTACTGTCCTCTCCAAGTCCTTGTCAGCTTCCTCCCTGATCTCCCAGCCTCTCCCTTCATCTCCTACAGCCTGAGTGACCAGGGGCCCTGCTTGCCCATGCACTTTGGCCTGGCCCTCCTCCTTCATGGTTGTGAATGTGTGCATAGGACTATCAAGTATCTTCTCTGCAGATTGTACTCGCTGGAGACCCCTTGCAGCTTGGCCCAGTCATTAAGTCAAGACTCTCCATGGCGTATGGGCTGAACGTGTCTATGTTGGAGAGGCTGATGTCTCGACCTGCCTACCAGAAGGATGAAAATGCTTTTAGTATTTGTGGCACTTACAATCCACTGTTGGTAAGCTCGCTGCTGCTTGATTCTGTTAAGTTACCAAAGCCTAGGTGGGAGCCATCAAGCGTCTCACTCTGTGTCCCCAAGTCCATGTGTTCATGGGCAGAGTGCAGGTGGGGTGTGTTCCCACCATGGCAGAAACACCCACCACCACCCCCAGCCTCCCTGTGAAGGTACTGTCCTAAGAAGTCTCCTCAGTCATGAGCCTGGCAGCAGGAACTCACTCCTCCTGCCTTCTTACCTACTTTGTCCTAGGAACTGGGACATGTGCTTCCTCGGGGTCCCCTGCAGAGGTTTGGCAATTGCAGGCAGTCTTGCTGATGGCTGAGGTTCTGTGGGGTCGGATACAGTCAAAGAAGTTATTAAATCGGTGGTATTCTGTGAATGTAGGAAAAACAGTAAGTTGTATAACTTTACTTGAAAGAAAGCAAGACTTCCCAGGGCAGTTGGAGGCAAACAGGAAAGTTGTTCGACTACAGGGAGTGCCGCCCTGTGTGATCTCTGACCCTGAGGTGCTCACTAAGGTGTAGGTGGTGGGCTCTCAGCTGATCTTGTACCAAATTCTGAGGGATGAGCTTTGGAATCTGCATCTTTGGGCTCTCCTGTCACACTGAGCTTGGGTCTCTAGGGCCCACCATTAAACAGTGAGCCAAGTGACATTAGCCTCTCAACTCGTAGAGTACACATACAAGAATAGATTTCCATCTGGCTCACATGACTAACATTGACATTCAGTGGAATAGACAGTGTAGTGATCATGGGCAGATTTTCAGGGAAAAGGACTAGAACCTATTCCAGGTCGTCAGTGGTAGAAGGGGGTTTTCAGACTGAGGAAGGCCTCCTGAAGGACCACCTACAAGATAGGTACCCACTATCAGAAGAGTCCATGAAGCTACCTCCAAGGAAAGACAGCACTGAGAACAGCTGCTTGGCCCAGAGGGTCCCTAAGAGCACTGCTGCCCAATGGGAGCTGCATCTCATGCTCCTGACTTGCCAGCTTCTTTTTTCTGGAGGACCTGCTGCCCTTGAGATGTGGGTAGAAGTACTAGGCCACTGTAAGGGAAGGTCAGCTGCCCCCACTGTCCTCACTACATTATCTCCAAAGCATACACACTCACTACATGGCCACAAGTGTGAGCAGACCCCCATCCCACAGGAGATCTAGGCTTTGTCCTATGCAGGGCCTGGCCAGTGTCTTGCACCTTCCACCTTTCTCCCCAGAGTGGCTGAAGCCATGGTAGCCCTGGGACCAATGAGCCTCCTTTCTCTTTCCCCAGCTCCCTGCTCCATCCAGCTCAAGCAGAGTTGCTGTGACACTAGATTATGTTTGAAGTTTTGAGTAACACCTTGAAGGCTAGTCTCATAACTGAGTTAAAATTTGTCACACTGAGTCAGATGAAGCTGTGAGGTTGATTAATGTCAAGCCAGGACCAAGGAAAGAATTTCCCGCACTGAGTGAACTTTCCAGGCCAGTTGGAGGCAAACAGGAAAGTTGCTCGACATGCTGGTGATGTCACAATCGCCCTCAACTCCATCAGTAAAGTCTCAGCCAGGCCACCCAGACTCATGGTGTCCATAACCATCCTGGCCTAGGGGCCCAGGAGCTTCTTTGTCCCTGCAGCTGAGCTGAGACAGGGCTGCATGGGGCTTTCTTTGATGGCTGGAGTAGCATGACAGCAGGTTCAGGGCCAAGCTTGCATTGTGCAGGTGTCCGCCTTCCTCTCTCCTGGCCACAGGAGCCTCTGAGAGACTTTTCAGCTGCACCAGACCCAGGAGAGGAACCAGGAGAGGCCATCTCTTCTATTTTCCTGCTATTCATGTTTTCTATTAAAATGAACCCTTGGTTCTTCAGTCATCCTAGAGGATGATGCTGATAAGTGACATGAGGGGCAGAAGTTGACATGGGTTTCACATTTGCTTTGCAGAACTGCTTCTCCATGGCAGAAACTGTTTTGTGTGCCAGCTTCCCCTTGTGACCTACTACCCATCCTCTTCCTGTAGGTCACTAAGCTCGTGAAGAACTATAGATCCCACGTGGCCCTGCTGGCGCTGCCCTCTCAGCTTTTTTATGACAATGAACTCGAAGCCTGTGCAGATCCCAAAGTAGTGACTTCTTTGCTAGGCTGGGAGAAGTTGCCTAAGAGGGGCTTCCCTCTCCTCTTCCATGGTGTGATGGTAAGTTGTGTTTTGAGCTGTGGAATGACTGGCTGTGTCAAGTAAGGGTAGTATGGTTGAAGGTTGTTCATCCCAGGTGAGGGTCCATCACTAAGCATGTGATGAACGCCTGTGGTGGGGCAGATGCTGTGCTGGGCTAGAGAGTAAAGAGCCATTGGGGAGCTTGGGCCCTTCGAGACCAGGTGCTTCCCTCTCCTACCAGATGCAGCAAAAGAGCTTAGAAAGGGCACTTGGCCCCCAGTGGGCATTACGGGCACTATTGTGAGGTGCTCATCTCAGATGAGCACTGGTTTCTAGAGGAGAGAAGGAGCCCAGGGAGCTCCCAGACGGAAGGCAATGAGGCTTGGGACACAGGCAGGGCCAAGGGGAGCCTGGCAGCAGGAAACTTGCCACCATCACAGACAGCATCACTGCCCTCCCTTCTGGGTCATTCTCTGCAGGCTCAGAGTGTCATAAAAGAGCCCCACAGGAAAGGTGGTCATCTCAGCTCCAAGGGTGTGAGGGACAGTGGGCGGCAGACTCTCCCTCTCACAGAGTCTCAGGAGCCAAAAGCAATGACAGGCATTCACTAAGATCAGCTAGTATTAAGAATTTAGTTGTTAGAACTAGCAATCAAGTTTTGTATTAGCCACCCCCCCACAAGAGAGGTGTTCAAGGTATCTGCAATTCGGGCTGCAGCCCCACAGGACAGGAGAACATGGTGTCAAGGTGCCCCCTTGTCACTTCAGCCCTGCCTTCTGGAGACATTAGTCTAGGTGACTGCACTTGGCCACCTTGAGGCCTTAGATATGTGTGTTCCATCCAGCCCTGACTCCATCTCTCCATAAGGTCCTTCTCTGGGGCCTGTCCAAAGCTGATGGAGTGCAGCTGCAGGGAGGTGGCTGTGCAATGCTCACCCTTCAGAAGGGAGGGAGGTCCAGGGAGACTATGTGGCAAGCTGGACACCTCAAAATACAGTCTCCTCTGGGGTGGGTTCCTCATGGGCTAGCTGATGCTGTTCCCTCCCTGAGAATGCACTCTCCACTGTCTGTCTTGCCAGCTCTCCCCATCCTCAGAAGCTCACCTGTGTATCAAGAAAAGCACACTTAGAAATCCTTCTAAAGTCTCTAGAAATGAGCCTAACAAGACATTAATAAGATCCTGTAGGAGAAAAACCAGAGCTTTGAGTGTTCGTAAAAGGAGAGACCACCGTGTAAAGTTATCAGTACTCCCCAAGTGAATCCATATCTTTATCAACCTATGAAATTTATGCAATGTAAATAAAAATCACAACAGGCTTTTTCATGAGAAAATGATTATAGAATGGAGTTATAAATGTGCACAGTTTTAGAAAAGAAAAATGAGTTACTTAGTTCACTAGATCAGGGGTCCCCAATCCCCAGGCTGCAGGCTGGTACTGGTCTGTGGCCGGTTAGGAATCAGGCCACCCAACAGGTGGTGTGTGGCAGGTGAATGGAACTACCTGCTGTCAAATCAGCAGTGGCATTAGATTCTCATAGGAGTGCAAACCCTATGGTGAATTGCGCATGTGAGGGATCTAGGTTGTGCACTCCTTATGAGAATTAATGCCTAATGGTCTCCCTGACCCCCCAGGTCTGTGGGAAAATTATCTTTCAGGGAACCACCAGTCCCTGATGCCAAAAAGGTTGGGGACCACTGTACTAGATGACAAAACATAGTACAATAGTAAATAAGTAAATGGCATGAAACAAATAGTTGACAAAAAAAGACATCATAGGTTGGTGGGACAGAGCATCCAGGGACATTAATTAATTTACTTGTGTTTTTCACATACCTAATTATGAGGGAGGACCCAAAATACCCGGAACTTATTTCAAAATTTTGTATTTATTCTTACATGTTTAAACATCACCTTCAAAGTACTCTCAGTTTGATGCAATGCACCTATCAAAATGCTTTTTCCACTGCACAAAACAGTTTCTGAACTCATCAATTTTGATGCCTTTTTGTGTTTCTGCTGTTTTTTGTTTCACTTCTTCCACATAGGCAAAACGTTTCCCTTTGAGAACTTTTTTCATCCAGGGAAACAACAACAAAATGTCACTTGGGGAGAGATTGGGTGAATAGGGAGGGTGGGGCACAGAGGTCCTGCTGTTTTTGGTCAAAAACTGAACTCTCAGCATAGTGTGGGAAGGTGTGCTTGTATGTTACCCATGATGAAATGGGCAAATGCGTTGAAAGAATCTAAAAAAAAAAATTCACTGAAGCTGAACTCAGCCTCTCATAACTATGCTAGCTAGTACACAGATGCCGTGGGTTCTTAGAACAAAATAATTCCGTTTGTGTGTGTGTATGTGTGTGTCCCCCATCTCATATGTATGAGGCTCTGATCTGGGCCCCAAGAATAACATGGGGGATGAAACTGTGGGTCCTAGCAGCATTCCTCAGGTTCACTGCAGAGAACATGGTCCATACCCGCTGTCTGAACAGAAGGGACCTCGTCCCTGATGGTGGCAGCTGCAGGGCTTCTGTGGGTCTGGTGCTGGTTTTCCCTGCATGCATACCCCTCACCTCCCGCAGGTCTACTCCAGTGCCCAAGAGCAGGCGTCAGGTTGCCTCCAACCCTCCAACCCCAGCGCCCCTTCCCTGAGTGCATGCCCTCTCTCACCTCATCAGCATTTCATCCCCTGGGTGAGCCCTGGAGGGACCTGTGCCCCTCTGCAGTGCCTGACTGTGTCTCTGGCCTCCCTGGCAAAGGAAGCAGTAGAAAGTATCACACAAACAACAAAGGGGCTTTGGTCTTGCCACCAGGAAGAGCCTGCCCCCACAGCAGACAGGTCCTGGGTCTCTGGCTTCATTTTGCTGTAAGGCAGAGTTGAACTCTGGCCTTGTCAATGCCAAAGACATTTA